TGATGTTGCAGATGACCAGATGTCTTATAGGGCAAGGTACAAAATACGGAATGTATCCTTTACACTACAAAAATTCGCACTGCAACCTGATTTTGTTCAATGGAGCGCGATTCATGACATAAGCGAAGCAATAAGAAACAATTCAGAAGGAGAGATTACGAATTTTTGGAAACATAATTTTTTTTTTGAAAAATTTCATATCTGGAAAAATTTATAAAAATTGTTGGATTTCTCGGAAAAATTTTAGAAAATTTGGATAATTTCGTTTTAAAGTACAACGGACAAAAAAATCTTATTCATTTTTTTACTATATATTCTTCATAAAATTTACTAAAAATTTATGGAACAGAAAAAAAAGTTATGGACTAGAATTCGAGAAAAAAAATTCCAAAGTTGAAGCAGCGGTAGTGAAAAACTCACCGTGCAGAAGCCACTGTAATTATCTAATTTATCAAAGCAGATAATTAGGCGCCAAATTTGAAAAATCTATGTGATTGAATGCATGGAAAAGTCTATATCGAATAATCATACTAATCTAGAAAGTATACCGAAAATCTGACATGATGAATCTAGAACGATAGTGTTTGGTATTGTGAGAGCAAATTAAACATCTTTCTCACCAAAGTTTTGAAACGGGAAAAAAATACTGTGACTTTAAGCTCATATATCTCATTTCCTGTGAAAGATATCAAAAAGTTGTCAACTGATAAAATGTTAGTCATAATATCAAAAACATTTTAGCAGTTGACCACTTTTTGATGTAACTCACAGGAAATTTGCTATAGGGGCTCTAGTGTTTACGGTATACAGAAATTCCTAAAAAATCCTAAACATATCTGTTTTGACCCAATTTATCTTGATTCTTGTAAAACGTATCAAAAAGTGGTCAACCAATAAAATATTGCTGATATTATGAGCAACACTTTATCAGTTGACGACTTTTTCATATTTTTAACAGGAACCTAAAAAATTAGCTCAAAGTTATGAGTACTTACAATCCACAAATCCTTTGAATCATTGCAAAATCCATTTTGATCTCTGTGCGTTGATATGGGTAAATAATGAGTTGTCAAATAAACATTTTTGCACTTTCTCTCTTTTTTAGTCTCCTTTTATAAGTCGAGGGTGGTGATCAAAGAAACAGAAAGGACTCAATAAAACTTCAGTTTAGTCAGAAAAGCTTAGAAAAAAGAATCAAAAGATCATCTTCTTTTTTCAGACTCTTATTCATAAATATGTTTTTCTTACTACTATGTTAGATCACATTAGCAGGTCTCTCTCTCTCTCTCTCTCTCTCTCTCTCTCTCTCTCTCTCTCTCTCTATCTCTCTCTCCAGACTAATACACACACCATATTAAGATTATGTTCTCTATACGTTTATGTTTACATACGTAGCCAACAAAAATATCAGATTATCTTTTAAAATTCTGTGATTCTAACTAGAGAATAGTTATCAGGGGGCTCATGTCAAGCACAAACTGACCACACCACCTGTGACAGAAATCAGAAATATAGATCGAAAGATCAAAGAAAAGAGAGGAGAAACGAAGTATTGGGGGTGATCATGGAAACATAGAAAAATAGATGAGTTCGGTAGATAATTCTTGTTAGATTTTAAAAATTGAAGGTTTTGCGAGACAAAAGAAAAGAAGCGATACACAATGATCAGAATTCAGGAACTTGGAATTCGAAAAATGGTAATTTTTAAAAATGGAGAAAAAATATAAAATTAGAACCAAAACAGCCCTATCATATTAGCTAGATAATGGGTGGTAAAAAAACTTTTGGAAACCGAAAATGTTTTTTTCTGATTTTTCCTAAATATCTTCAAAATTTCCGGTGAAAACGGCACTGTTTCAACTATTCCGAAATTTTTAATAAGCAAAACTGAGAAATTTGCAGTTTTTGCGCAAAAGAAAGGATTATCATTTAAGAGTATATATACATGCAAAATTCGACTCTGCAAAAATGGAACATTTGAAATTTTTGAGAAAAGGGAACAAAGTTGATAATAAGAACATAAGAATGAATATGCAAATTTTGATTTTTAAACCGGAGCACAAATCATTAAAAAAATATATAAATGCAAAACTAGACTTTTTGAAATTGTAATTATTTTTTGAAAACTAAGAATTTTGATATTTTCTGTTTCCTATTGTCAATATTTCGCAAGTTATCATTTTGAAGTTTGATGATTATTCGAAGAATCCAAAAATTTAGAATCAGCGAAAATATAATACCGTAAAAACTCTATTAGATAGCCACCTAGGGGTGCCAGCCTCTAATATAGTGCCATCCCAGGGCATCTCCGAACAATAGAGTGCCAGCCCCTAATATTACGCCACTGCGGAGTTGATCTCACTGTGTAAAAGTTGAAGAATAACACAAAAATCATTTTTTGGTTTTCTAGCTTTTTTCAAGCTTAAAAAAGGTACTTTATTTGTCAAAAATGTTTCAGGATGATATCAAACTCCGATAGTCTCTAAAAAAGAAGTAGAAAAATCAAGAAAACCTCGAAAGTCATTTTAGAAAATTTAGAAAATTTAAAAAATCGAATCATTTTGTGATTAGTTTTAGTAGAAAGTGCCAGCCTCTAATTGAATGCCACCCCTGACCACCATCGAACAATAGAGTGCCATGGCTATCTAATAGAGTTTTTAAGGTATTTGAAGTTTTGAAAACCGGGAATAAAGTTAATAATGAAATAAAATGAATATGCGAAATTAGACTTTCTGAAACTGGGAAGATGTTCGAAAATCAATTTCAATGTTTCGACAAATTTTAAATGTTAAAGAAACTGTTCCGAAATTCGAAATGAGCGAAAATGAAAAATTTAAAGTTTTTGAAAAAGAAACCGTGAATCATGAGAACTGAAAAATGAATGCAGAATTAGACTTTTCGAAACCGGATTTTTTTCAACTTTCAGATTTTTCGAAAATATTTCTGACATTTTTCTTTATTTTTGAAAGTTTAGATATCCCGAAAATTTTCAAAATTTTAAAATTGTCGAATTTTAAAAATGTCACAATTTTCTCACTAAAGCTTTCCAATAGGTTTTTCGAGATACAAGTTGAAACTTTTAAAATATTTTCGAAACAGAGCCCAATAATGATTTGCGGCCTAAAAACTATTTTATTTCAGAGTGGACGAAAGTGACGAAAATAGTAACTATTTCGAAATTTGAAATAAGCGAGAACGGATAATTTACGGTTTTCGAAAAAAAAAGTCCCGATATTAAATATCAGATCTGAAAAATAAATATAAAACTAAAATTTTTGAAACTGAAATTCAAATATCAAATTTAAAAGATTTTGAAAAATTGAAGTTATCTATAGCTCGAAAAATTATCACTGTTTTATAGTTTCAATGTTTTTCGATCATTTTACTAACTTTGGTTATGAGTAGACAATTTTTTTTATTTTCTTTTCTTTTTTTTCAAATTTAGATTTTTCAAAATTATTTTCAACTTTTTCCATTCAAGATCTTTAAAAATTATATTTATGAATGATTTCTAAGGCTTAAAAATGCCGAATTTCGAAAAAATTACAAAAACTTAAGTTCAATTCACTTTTCAGTTGAATCTTGAGAAACGTTTTGATATGCCAAATCCCTTTAAAACTATATCTATGTTTCAAAACTTCCACAGTTTCACCCACTCAAAAAATGCAAGATGATGAGTTTTTGATTATGAAAATCCCAAAAATTTCTGTTTTCAAATCTGAATATTTCAGTCTGTCTATCATACTAGTGAGTACGAAGATTATCAGATATTATAGGAATCCCTATTTACCATATATTTTCACACGTTCCCTTCTTTTCTTAGAAAAAAAAATCTAGAGGGAATAAATAGATCAAAACACATAAAGTAGATTGTACCCTTCCTATATTTCAGAGAATTCCAACTAAAAACTGACCAGGAAAACGTCAGCACCTGCTCTTGATGTTGTCCCTTAATTGGGTTTCTAGAAATCCCCGAAGTGATCTTTCTTTTTTAAAATTGTTTGTTCAGCTGGTCCAAAATTATGACAACAAACTAGAGCATAGTTTTTATAGGGAACTGAAAACAGTAAAAATTTCAAAATTGGTAGAAATTTGATTTTCATCTTTTGCTTCATAAAAAATTCGAAGAAAAGTTGGAACACTAAACCTTGACAAAAATAAGATAAAATTTTTACAAGATTGTAGAAAACGACGTAGTTTTCAATTTTTTTAAATCAAAAACATCATGGTCCGTTTCTTTTTTTGAGAAATGACGAATTTTGAGATTTTTCCAAACTTAATTTTCAAAAAGTTTGAAGATGGCTCAGGAAACTCAACTTGTAAAAATTAGTCCACCATGGTGAAATTGTCTAGAAAACACACCAGGTTTATATCAAGCAATTCCTAGGTCATTCACGATGGTGGCCTAGGAAACTCAGCTCGCCAAAGTTAGGCCACTATGATAAATGGCCTGTAAAACATGTCAGATGAATGGCCTATAAAACATGTCAGATGTATGTTGGACCATTTTTGGACTACGGTGGCCAAAAAATCCCATTATACAATCTTTAAATTTCATAAAAAAACAATTTTGGTTAGAACATGTGTTATGCAAATTAGAGAAAAGTATGTATAGAACTTTCTGAGAACTTTGTGAAACAGACAAATTTGTACTTCTTTCATTGAATATAAAAAGCTTTCAGGAGATATGATTCGGTTGTAGACCAGTAGAATTATAGCCTAAAATTTGAAGATGACTGAGCTTCGCGGTCGAAAATGGCGCTTTTCAACTGCTGACATATGTTAAAAGGGTCCGGTAGTCAAAATACACCATTAAAAATTCGTCAAAATTGTGAAAAAATAGTTTTGTAAAACACCTTTTGAAATAAAACTAACCAGACTAGACGAAAAACATCAAAAGTGGGAAACAATAAAAAAAATTAGTGCCAAATTAGGAAAAAAGAGATGAAGCTAAAATTATCGAAACTTTGAAACATTAATTTACAATTAAAAAGACTCACTGATAATATTGTTGCATTTGTTGTAAATCATCCATTTTTAAAGTTTCTTTTTTCTGAAATTTCAAATATAAAAAAGAAAAAGGAAATATAAAAGGAAGCAAGAAGAAAGAAAAAAATGAGAAGAAGGCGAGATGAAAAAATAGGCAAAAATAAGAAGAAGGGCGTCAACTCAAAACCCCATTCAATTATTTTTTTTCTTGCTTGTTTTTTTTTCTTTTCTTTTTTTGGTCGGAAAATTTTGTGCTGATTATTTGATAGGTTAACAAACTTAATGAAAAAAAAAGAAAAAAGGGAAATACCACCAGAGAGTTCGAACCCAACACCTTACTCACAGTAGCGCCGCACACATCACAGGTGATTCGTGATTGACCAATTACAGATGAAGAGCTATAAGCGACCCAATTACTCACCTACCGCGAACTAGTGCTTCTACAATTGAACATTCGCGAGAACATTGCGTATCTTACTAACTGGCCCTATAAAAGGCCCACAATTGACCAATCGCGAAAATATATTTTTTTCTCTTTTTCGAAGTTCTTTCACCTATTTTGGGTATTTTTCATCGTTTTTTGCAGTTTTCTTTGCATTTTTTGTCCGTGAAATATTATTTAACCTACAAGAACATACTAGAATACTGTATCAGCAAGTATTTCACTTTTTGCTTGCAGAAAAATCGGAAAAATGAAATTTTCGGAAGATAAAAGTCGAAATTTTGGATTATTCTGGAGGTAGCAGGGCTACTGTTCTTTCAAAAGTTAAGCAGTGTCCAGAAAGTCCGAATTTCGAAACCAATTTTTACAGGGAGCCAGGATATTCTCAATTTTCTGGTACGTCCACTGGGCACTACAAAAAAGAAGCGGCTGAGAAAGAGGAAGGAACTGTATCAGCAAGTATTTCACTTTTTGCTTGCAGAAAAATCGGAAAAATGAAATTTTCGGAAGATAAAAGTCGAAATTTTGGATTATTCTGGAGGTAGCAGGGCTACTGTTCTTTCAAAAGTTAAGCAGTGTCCAGAAAGTCCGAATTTCGAAACCAATTTTTACAGGGAGCCAGGATATTCTCAATTTTCTGGTACGTCCACTGGGCACTACAAAAAAGAAGCGGCTGAGAAAGAGGAAGGAAGAAAAACTGGAATGGTGGGTGAATTTGAACAGAAAATTCAGAGAAAAAAACTTTAGATTTCAGACGGAAGTGTCAAATTCGTGGATTTCGAGAAAATTTCAAATCGATAACTTGTGTCAGAGGTATACCACAAAAATTATTGGGGGCTTAAAATTTAGATAAACTATTTCAGTTTCTTTGCAACAACATCAACATCATCTTCTGCTTCTCATGGGTGTTGTCATCCAGAATTGCGAAAATAGACAGAACGAGACGCCCCGGTGACGGCCCAAGCAGCGCGACTACAGCGGAAGGACAAAATTCGTTTCTTAATTTCTCGTTTTTCATTTTTTTTGTGTAATAAAGTAATTTTGAGCAGCAGCAAGATTCCAATTTCGAAAAAATATGGGCCAATTATTGCTCTCGCGACAAGCCAATTGTAGGAGATTTGATCGCGATAGGCGGAATATTGGTCATTTGCGGTGGCGCTTTCGCGATTGGTCTGTAAATGGCCTGCGGCAGGCATGTTCCGAGTACCCATGGCGATTTTCCGTGAACAATATTTCACCTATTATAGACGCTGCGCGAATCACCTGTGATCCCCGACACCACCGCGCCAGTTCCTTTTTGAGAGTAAGAAGGTTACTAAGTGTTCGGCGCTTCTCAACTTCTAAGGAGTTCCGGAAATGAAAAAAATTGAAATCGAACCCATATTGAAAAACAACTACATCTAGACTTTGAAACTGAAAATATTTCAACAAAAAATAAGATACTCTAAAAAATCAAAGGATCAACTGGTAGGAGGAGGAAGCAAGTTTTCTGTTTTGATTGGATTGACAATTTTTAGTGCAAGAAGAGGAAGACAACGTGATGATTCAATCAATTTACAGAGAACAACAAATATTTTTAAAGATTGGAAGAGAAAAAAAAAACTTTGGCTGCAAATTCCAAAGAATCAAAAGATCAACTAGACAGTATTCGCTAAAAGATTTTTTAACTTTTAGCAATTGCTGGATTACTGTATTTCCAAATAACAAATGTAACTTGGAATCAAACAAGTGTTTAACCATATTATAATAATATATTTTATTTTGTACTTTTTAATTTTTTAAGATATTCTATATTTCAAGCAAACATTGAAATAAAAATCAGGATATCTGAAATTGCTGAATCATTTTTTAAATAAAATTTTTTAAAAATTTGAGAAACAAAATTCCCAGGCATCAGACTTATTCTTGTCAGAATATGAAAATATGAATGTCAAGGCAGGTGGACTTTTTTGAGCATTTTTTTCAAAGACCTATTATCCAAATAAACAAGACAATATTGTTACCATGGTTTTGAAGCGGAAAAATTTAGAAATTTCGGAATCCTTGGACTTTCTAATATTTGGAAAAGGCGGAAAAACATAAATTAGCATAATTCATAACGGAAAAAAACAGCCAATTTTTTGAAAGAACAAGTTCAGAATTTTTAAAAAAGTACTGTTTCAAATTTCCTGTGAAAGCTTGATTTGTTTTAGTGTCATAATTTTGGACGAAGTGGTATAGTGATCATAATTTTTTGCAGTTTGTACTTATGGACTTGTAACTAATTTAGGTACATATAATTGAACACAAGCCTTTCGTCGTAAAATCTGTATCACAAGGAACCCTCTAGTTGAAGGGCATGCCCTTCTAATAGAGGTTTTACGGTATACGGTATACGGGACATCCTTTCGTTAACAACACTAAATTACTATTCGTAAATAATTAAACACGAAAAATCACGTTTTTTTCTTTTTGCAAACCAAACATGTTGTAGTTTTATCAGTTATCACAAATTCATAAATCGAAAACATCGGTACCAATTTTCCGGTAAAAAAATGTGATACTATAATTGATAAGATTATGAAAAAACTGTAGGTTTGTAGGAAAACTGTAGGAAAACTGTAGGTTTTTTCTATATTTAAGAATCGATTTATCAGAGATAATTGAGAGAGGAGGGGGGAGGGTTATTAGCTATGAACAGACAAACTGATCCCACTACTTGTTTAAAGTGACCATTGTCAATCGGAATAAGATGGAACATAATTTTTCCAGCAATTTTTTTTGCGAAGAAAAGACAATTTGTGTGTTTTAATGTCTAGAAAAACCGATACTATGTATACGCAAAAGGACAACGATGGAAGATAAGATCGCTGAGAGATGAAGAACCTTTAAAGAATGAGAATCTCATATTCAGATTGTACTGTTTTTTGGGGCGGGGCCTCGTAAATCGACAAGAACGTTGTCCGCGAGATTATTAATTGTCCATTAACTAATGACTATTGAGAAATTTGAACAAGGAATATGTATAAAAATAAAGAATTTGAGACAGTGAAAATGCAAAGAAACTAAAATTTCTGTTTCAAATTCTCAACTAGAAAATTTAGAAGAACATTGTAATATTGCTTTAGTGAATTCCAGATAATTCGAACCTCTCCGGATATTCTGATTTTTGAACTTTGAATAGATTATTTCAATTTTCAAGATTGGAATGAATATTTTAATTTGAAGATTTACCAGAAGTTTTCCAAAAATATGGTACTCTAACTAGTGTTTGATTAATACAGGATTAGATTCTAAAAAAAATTAAAGGCTCGATTTATTTTTAAGATTTTGTCACTTTTTTCTGTTCCACGGGGTCGATTTTTGTAGTCAAAAAAGAAAAAGGATTGATAGGTCCTCAAAATTTTGAGTTTCCTGTACAAAATTATCCGAAAAATATCGAAAACTTGATTTCCAAAACTTTCTGGAATTTCGATAAGATATTTTGGTTAACACAGAGTCAAAAAAATAGAAAAATATATTCAATTTTGATTCCTGAACAGTAATTATTTTTTATTTCATGAAAATGTTCTGGAAAATGTGTCTAAAAACAAGAACACTTAAGAAAAGAAGAAATCTTAAACCTAGAAATGGGTTTTTAGAGATTAGAAATGGAGCTTTCAAGATTTTGTCTTATTTTTCAGAATTATTTTCTCACTGAATTGACATAATTTTAGAATACTTTACTGCCCTAAATTTTTAGTCAATGTCTCCTTTTTCAAATTTTCGAAAAGGAGCAAAATACAAATATAACAAAATATTGAAAAAAAAACCCTAAAAATTAAAATAAAAATTTTTAAGTTTCACAGTGCTCATTTTCACGTTGAAAAGGTAAAAAGACGATTTGATGTAGAAAAATCGATGATAGTACTGAAAAATAATAGTCGAGGAAACAGTATAAAAATCTGAAAAAAAAATCGGGTATCAATTTTGGTTCTAAAACACTATTTGTGAACCCTTTTTTTCCAGTTTCACAATGCTCATTTTAACAATATAATGAGAAACTCACGATCTCAAAAGATAAATCGTATCATTCTTATAATAAACCAGCCTGTTTGCCGCGCCTCCTCCGCCGCTTCAAACTGGTGCGCCTTCGGCGTGATTTGACCTATTTTTTGCTTTATCGTCGCCTTGCTCCTCTTTCTTATTTAAAAAGTCACGTGAGTTTATTTGACCCTTTGAGTAAGACAGAGAAGCGAAGCGACGAACAGTAAAAGATATAGATTGAATCGCGCCGAAGGCGCACCAGCCAACTGTTTGAAGCGGCGGAGGAGGCGCGGCAAACAGGCTGGTATTAAATAAATGAAGTTGCGTCTCTTTCTCTCTCTCTCCCTGTTGGTCTGTCCGAACATGAAAAAATGTGAATTGCAATAAAAATTCCAAAAAATTTCACGAAAAAAGAGAACTATGTTAATAAGTAATTCGGGCACAGAATAATTGGACTATTTTTTTGTACCGGAACATGTGCCAAAATTGAGAGAGTGCCTAAAAAATCTACACAACTAAAATTTCCTAAATTTAATTGAATAATGTTCACTTTGAAGCTGGAATTTATTTTATGGTTTTAATTTTCAAAAAATTTCAGATCATATTTTCCAAATCTGTTTTTCTTGTTTCATTGGGCTTCTTTTTCCCATGCTGGCGCGAAGATTTAACTCAATTCACAATAAACTTGGAAAAAAAAATCAAAAAAGAGGACAACACAAAATATGTGATTGGAGAGCCAAAACTAAAAAAAGAAATATCTCACTAAATATGTCATCCCTTTGAAACATAAAAAAATTTTTGTAAATTTCTCAAGTTTCAGATCATGATTTTTGAATATATTTCAATTTTTTCAGTTTCATAGTGCAAAATTCAGTATCATCGCTTTTTTCGAAAAAAAAAAGCAAACTGTAAAAAATTTCACGAAATAGTGAAAAATTGAATTATTAAGTTAATTAAGCGCCCAAGGTTTGAATTGATTCTTTGCACTGGAAAATGTGGAAAAAGTTAGAACAGTGTCTGAAAATTCTCAAAAAACCTCAAAGTAAGTCACTAATTGAAAAAAAATCAGTTTATTAACGTTCACTTTGAAGCAGGAAAATTTTTTCATGATCCTAATTTTTAAAACATTTCAGATCACTATTTTTGGATCGATTTTTTTCAGTTTCACTAAGCTAATTTTTTATATTCTAGATAATATTTTAGAGAGATATCAGTAAACAAAACCCATCACGTGTGGAAAAAATCAAAAAGTTCAGGAACACAAAAACGGAGAAATGTGTGCAAAAAGTGAGAAAAAGACGAAAAAAGGTTATCAGTAATAAGAGAACCGTATCTCCTAAACACTACAAAGTCCAAAAAATGTCATCTATCTGTCATCACCACCACCTCTTCTCTCCCTTTTCGTCTTTCAGGTTGTGATCATTCTGTCTCCGTCTTCTCTAATCACTCTCTTCAATCAGCACACCCTCTCTCTCTCTCTCTCGTCAAATTCTCACTGATAACCGAAACATATAATAGTGTATTGACCTAAGAAACGCATCAATTCTTGCGGTGAGAGAAAGAAATTGTTAGAAGAAAAAAAAAAGAAGAAGAAGGAAATTGGAAAAAAGAGACATTTCAAGAAAACCAAAAAATAAATTCTTCACTTTTTTCCAATTCAAAGGGCCAATGATGAGGCATGAATGAAAAGGAGCTGCATAATTCAGAACGGAAGGCAAGGGGAAATAGTGTGTGAGACGAAGAGACGCAGAATATTTGAAAATTTTTCATCATCTCCCGGTCGGTAAGACACTCCCGGGTGTCTTCTCCGAGAGATAGGAGACGCAGAGAAGAGAGAGGGAGAGATAATTAAAAATTGAGAGAGCAGGAGAAAGTGCACGTGGCAACTGGATTCACTTTTCTCTTCTTCCCCTAGACTACACGTTTTG